ACACGTGCCTCTCTATACCTCATCCTTAATCCCCTTCTAGCCACATTTACAAGACAAGTTTACCAAATTTTCAGCTCCTTAGACCTGATTACTCATTTTTGGGTGACACAAGTTTTAATTTTCTTATCCCCCAAATATTTTAAAATGAAAGACAAGGAGTGGTTGTTACTGTTGAATTGGCTGCCTCGGGTACACTGGGCAAAGGCTCAAAATCCCACTGAAAACCTTTTCCTTCCTCCCTCCCTTCCTCCCTCCCTCCTTCCTTCCTCCTTCCTTCCTTCTTCCTTCCTTCCCTCCTTCCTTCCTTCCCTCCTTCCTTCCCTCCTTCCTTCCTTCCTTCCCTCCTTCCCTCTCCCTTCTTCCCTCCCTTCCTCCTTTCCTCCCTCCCTCCCTCCTTCCTTCCCCTTTCCTTTTCCTTCCCTCCTTCCTTCCCTCCCTCCTTCTTCTTTCTCCCTCCTTCCTTCCCTCCTTCCTTCCTTCCTTCCCTCCTTCCCTCTCCCTTCTTCCCTCCCTTCCTCCTTTCCTCCCTCCCTCCCTCCTTCCTTCCCCTTTCCTTTTCCTTCCCTCCTTCCTTCCCTCCCTCCTTCTTCTTTCCCTCTCCCCCTCCCTTCCTCCCCCCCTTCCTTCTTTTTTTGACGGGGAAGTTAAGGAACATTTCTGCTGGGCGCCTCCACCCCTCCCCCATCACTCACATTTTCTTCTTTGGCAGGGGCTTTGCCTCACCTCCTGTCCTTCTCTGCCCCTCCCATGGCAGGGGCTATAGCCCTTCTAGGTCCTGCATCTAACTCCAATACCCCCATCTCTTATCTCGTGGATAAGATAGGGAAATTTAAATTAATTAAATAAAATTGAAATTGAAATGAGGGAGATTTCACTCTCTTTCAGCTATTGCTTTCTTGTGATTTCATACCCACAGGGAATTTTTAGTAAATGATAAATATTTTTTCACTATTCCAAATGATATTTTCATGTCATGTCATGTCATTCATTCATTCATTCAATAAATATGCTTAGTCTGATACATCTAGTGTCAGCCGTGGCCCAGCAGAAGGTGGACCTGACTGTGCTCATTGTGTGAACGCCATCCACACTGTGCGTGGTGGGGCCAGGGTGGCGTGGGGCTGGGGAGAGCCAGGGTTAATGGCCACGTGGTAGTTCAGAGTTAGGAGATCTTAAAATGGAAAGCGACCTTAGAAATGGGTGGCAGGCATTTCCTGGGCCTCAGCATTATTTCCTTTTGTCAAGGAAAATAGGAAACAGACTGAAGAAGGGGATGTGGATCTTGAGCCCAGGGAAGACTTGAGAAGCGAAAGTCAAACAGGGACACGTTGGCCTTTTGGTTGGGCAGACTTTGTAGCAGGGAGGGAAAAGCCCTTACAGGTGAAATATCTGTGGGGCTTTGCTTATGTCCATAAACTAAAGAAGTCTCAGTGTTCACTGTGAGTGGTGAGTACAGACCATCATCCAAGTGCTTGCTGGGCAAGGCAGTGTGGGACTGGCCGGACTTCTAGCTCATGGGGCTGTGCCCGTGGCCCTCCAGGTGTGGCAGGAAGGAGAAAACCACAAAGCCGTCTGCCACCTGAGGGATATCACGGGAGACTTTTCCAGCTTCATCTCCTATAAAATTATGGCAATGTCTCTAGGTTCCCTAGCAGACAATGTTTATTTCCCAAGTTGTCTAGAGGACATCAGGAAGCGTGGGCTGGGAGTTCTGTGGAGGTGGGGAGAGGGGCTGTTTTGATTAGACCTTCCCAGCTCTGTGCCAACAGGGTCACCTACTAGCTATCCTCTCCACTAATTGGTAGAAAGTGCTCATTAATCAGCATGGAAACAATGCCCAGAACCTTAGGGGCTAGAGATGTGCACAAACACCTGGCCACAGATGGCCCAACTGTGCTGCAGAAAGCAGGGCTGCCAGCTTGGAGGAGGTGATGGCATCAGAGGACACTGTTTAGGACAACAGGAGCTATTGTTTATTGAGGTCTAGCACTTGCCAAGCACTAGGCTGAGGGCTTTATAAGCATCCTATCCTGTCTTCAACAGCCTGTGAGGGAGATGTTGGTATCCTTTCTATATAAGTTCAGTCCGCTACCTACACTCTGCATTTGAAGTCAGGTGTGTCTAATGCGAAAATCTGTCCCTACGGCCATCTCTGGAGCAAAACAAGCAAGTAGTCACTCCCCTCAATGTACAGCTGAGCCCAGAATAGCATGACTGGGTGCTCTGTAGGTTCAGCATGGCCTGCCAGGACCTCCAGGACTGTTAGAAAGCATAAGCAAACTAAAGTAGGCTTCAGGATGTTGGGGTTCTCAGAGAATGAACCAGTTTTCAGTGTTGCTGGCTGCGCAGGGGTGATGCCATGTTTCTTAGGGTTCATGGGGGACTGTTAGAAAGCATAAGCAAACTAAAGTAGGCTTCAGGATGTTGGGGTTCTCAGAGAATGAACCAGTTTTCAGTGTTGCTGGCTGCGCAGGGGTGATGCCATGTTTCTTAGGGTTCATGGGGGCTAGGACATGACTAGAGGGTGAGTAGCTCTCATTTCTACAGGCCTTAGGGAGAAGTTGAGGCCAGGATCGCAACTGTGAGAGAAGCACTATGGCATCCCTAAGCTTTCTGGTTCTCAAGGCCACTCCCAGGGCCAAGGGTCCCCATGGGCTGACGTCTGCCTGCAACAGTCTCCTCAGTAGGTCTCTGCTCATGCTTGGACCACCGCTGATGCTATTGGGCATCATCTTTTATACTCAGGACTATGTTGTAAGATTGCAAATGAATGAGGGTCTCACTGTGCTATGTGGGAAAACAGGTCATGGAAATAGAGCATTCTTCTCTCTAAGATCCCCTTCGGCCATGACGAGAAGGGGGGAGGATTCCTTGCCACTCACAGATTAAATCTTGAAAAGACTGGCAGTTTGGAAGTGTGGAGTCGCTGTTCACCCTGGCAACATGCAGCTGGTGCTCAATGCATGTGACCTGACCGCTCACAAATATTTCTTAGGTACATATCATGTGGGCTGGGGGTGGAGGGTGGGGAGGTGAAAGAGAAGATCTGATGGAGACAGCAGTCCCAGGTCCTGATTTCACAGTGTGGTGGAGTAAACATCATCTTTGGAGACAGGTGGATCTGGGTTCAGACCTTAACTCTTATGTAACCCGAACTTATGGCCTGTGTGATCTAGAGCAAGGCTCTCACCCCTCTGGACCTCAGCTGCCTCTCTTTGTAAAAGTGAGATGCGTTACCCTCTCACATAGGTAGGTAAGGAGGAAACGAGTTAGCAGGTGTGTGCGCCTGGGTGCAATGCCACCCATGGAGCAGCTTGGAGCAGACATTACTGTACAGCACACATATCCCTTTGGCCTCCCTGGAGGTACCCGCCGCTCCCTGCCTGCAGGCATTCTGCGGTTGTGAGCATGCTCAGCCCATGCATACGACAAGGCAGAAGTGCTAGAGAGTCAAGTCCAGCGGTACCCTTCACCCAGTGAGGGACTCCACTTGCTCACTCCTCAGTGTAGTAATTATGAGGGGTGTTTCACCTTCTCTTAGAAGGTCCCCAGGGGGACTGAGCCCCAGTCGCCTGCGGCCTTCAATTGTTCAGAACACATGCGTGCTGCCTTCCCTCCCCTCTCTGGCTCACTACCCCACTCCCTCACCAAAGCTTCCTACAGCACTTCCCAAATAAACTACTTACTTCTTGACATAGCAGCAGGTAACCCCAACTAAGACAGAAGATCAATGAAACCTCCTATTGTGATTTTCGGAGGGCGTGGAAGTAGGTAATTCATAAGGAGAAATATAAAATACTATAGAAGAAAAAGAGATTACTACCATCTGGAGTCATCGGGGAAGGCTTTGGGAAGGAGATTACAGGCAACATTTGATCTGATTGCCAAAGGATGTGAAGGATTTGTACATAGAGGGTGGGACAAGGAAGGGAATATCAGGAGAGGGAACAGAGTTTTGCATCCACTTTTCCAAAGATTCCTACTAAATCTGTGTGTGAGTCAGGTGGGCGGACAAGTCAGATGGGCCCATGCCTCAACCTCATCTGGACACAGAACCTCCTGGCTGGCATGGTCCTGATACTTTGGCCCTGTGCTTGGCACACTTTCAGGTGATATTTATCAGTGCGCACGATACAGGGCTAGTGCTTTCTTTCTGCCCCTGAAGGGTGGCCTGTAACCTCCTATCTTTGCCGAGCCGTTTGTCACAATCTGTGAATCCCCAGCAAACACTATGCCCTCTTGTCCACCAGAACATCCCACAGGTCTCGAGTCTTCTGAAGGCATCAGTGAGGTTTCTGCCAGTGTTTCTTAGGGTCCTTGGGGGATTATGTGCTGACTCCTCTCCTTGAATCTCACAGGATTCGCCGGGGCTCTGACCCCCGAGTTTGAGACATTAGGCTTATGTTCGTTTCGCTTATCTGATGATTCTCCATCATTTGAGCGAGTGAGTATAAGGTATCCCAGTCTATCCAGAGAGCATACAGATGCAGGCTTTCCTGCTGGAAATGAAGGAGGCGAGAAAGAGGAAAAATGTCGTGGTACCCAAGACAAATCTTTGCTGCCTGTTGACTGTAGTTCATTGGTTAACAAGGCTTTTTCATCAGGGACTTTGGTTCAAATAAAATCTTATGGAAGTGGCAATCACACAGTTAAAAGCTGTGTTCCCCTTGATGAAGTGAGGGTGGTTAGAGGAAGTTCTGCTTGCTCACGTCCCCCTTACAGGAGTACAGCATGAAACCACTGCTGGAGTGGATAAGAGGAGGGAAGTGGAGGGAGAAAGGTGATGATTCTGTGTACCCTTTGCCTTCTGTGGCTTCACAGTACTTGGCAATCCATTTGGGACCTCCCAGATGAATTCAGTTCTAATGTGCCAGAGATAGATCGCTTGGTATCTACTCTGACGGAATGAGAGCCGAGAGACAGTGGTTCAGGTAGTCAGGATTAAAACTCTGAAGAGGTGAAAATCTCTCAGTCCTACCAGTTTTGCTCTTTTCTTTCAGAGGTTCCCAAAACAGAACAGACTTTTGAAGAACGCCTGATACTCAAAGCTTTCTTGCTAAAGTTTGTCAATGCCTACTCACCCATCTTCTATGTGGCCTTTTTCAAGGGGAGGTGAGTATAATGGTGTCACACATGGAAGTGCAACTTGTCCCTAAGACTGGGCCCCCCGCTAGAGTCAGCTTGTCCCCACCGTCAATTCACACTCTCATTTCAATTTCATCTCTCAATTCACAGTCCCATTCCCCATCTCCATCCCCACTGCACTGTTCTGATAACCAGAGAAACTACAGGGATTTGACCCTGGGCCCCAGAGGGTGAGTCTTAGAATAATCTGGGCCTCCCAACGTTGAGCATGAGATAAGAAAGAATTTCAGGTCTCGCGAGTGGCTCATAGGTCTTGCAATGCAGTTCTGACACCAGCTACCCCGAGCTAGTGCAGACTTCGCACATTAAGGGCACAGTCTTCCACGAGATTGCCCTCACTCCAGACACTAGCTGCAGGCTCTGGGGTTCCTATGCCACTCATGATTCAGACCAACTGGCTACAGCCGCTAACTCCTCAGGTTTGCTAATTCTCTAGAATGACTCGTAGAACTCAGGAGTGTCCTGTACTTAAAATTACAGTTTTACTATAGAAAGGGGGCACAAATCCAAACCAGCAAGTGGGAGAGGCACATAGGGTGAGGTTTACGAGGGTCCTAAACAGAAGCTTTCAGGTCCTCAGGATGCATTAGTTTCCTGGCGCACTGATGTGTCCCACCAACCAGGAAGCTCATCCAAGCCTCCCTGCCCAGAATTTGTAAGGTAGTGGTACGTAGATGTGATTGGTTGAAGCATTCACCATGTGACTGAGCTCAGCCTCCACCCCCCTTCCCTCCCCTGAGGTCAGGCTGCTACTACCTGGATGAAAGGCCCAACCCTCTAATCACACGGTTGTTTTCTGTGGCATGGCCTCCCCCATCCTGAGTGATCTCATTAGCATAAATTTAGGTATAGTCTCAAGATCCCAACTATCAATAACAAAGAGAATCCTATGGGGGAAATTCTAAGGATTTAGAGGCTTCTCCAAGAACCAGCAACAAAGGCCAGTCAGATTCTTTATTATGCAACATGTCTAGCTGTAAAATCACTTCTGACAATTAGATCAGTTGGCTACCTATAAGGAGATTACCTAGTAGGCATTAACTCTGTCAGAAAAGCTTCCCTAGCACTAAAATCTCATCAAGCAGGCATCCATAGCAAGAGCTATTATTGTGCATATTTGATAGTTTCTTATAAATAGGTTTGTGACTGAAACCATAACCCCCCTTCCTGGGATCTCTGCCCTTGACTCGTATGAAATTATAGTAGCAGAGAGACTATCCATATTAATGGGTATATACTCCACTGGTGCTTTCACTCTAGATTTAATATCAATAGCAAATTTCCTACATAGATATTTCAGGCCAAAAAATAGGGTCCCGACCCTTAGATAAATTTGTAGTCTATTGAAAGAGATGGTCTTATCATCAGCACACGCAATGAATTGCTATCACAGAAGTATAAAGAAAGTGCCGGGGAAATACTTAATTGTGAGCAGAGACAGAAGACTTCACAGAGAAGGAAAGATTTGAGCTGAGCCTTAAATAGATGGCTAGGATTTCCATAGGTGGATGAGGGACTAACAGTTCAAGTAAGAAGGAGTCTTCTCATTACCTGGCTGGTTCCGTGATTGGCTTTTCCCTCTCTGCTTACCCCCGCCCCCCATCTCTTGTCCTCCAGTAAGATAGACCCAACTTGGAAAAGGAAGGAGGCAGGCTGCTTCCATGCCTTTGAATATTCTTAAGAAGTCTGGATTTTTCTTTTCTGATCCCAGGAATCCCTACTTGCAACTTTGGCCTGTCTCCACCCTCCATTTCCTGGGAAATCAGAATCTCCCACCGAGGAGCCTTGATAAGAACTCAATTCTTAACATTAGTTGAGGGAGGAAGGTGCACAGATAGTACACTTAGGGATAATCCAAACCTCGTGGCATTGAGGCTCAGAAATTGTCACAGGTGCCCACACACAGGACCTTCCCAGCCCCATACCAGCCCCAGCCTCAGCCCCTGTCCCCTGGAACTCGGGTTAAGAGGTGAACCCTCGATGGTCAGGTGACAGCTAGCCAGTAACGCGGTGTCCACGCCCACCCCTGGGTGAGTTGGCCCCTGCCCTGGCCAGTTCTTTCCAGGAGGCTGTTGGGCGGTGCCTCTTCCACTCAGAAGGCAGGCTTCTAGCAGCCCTGCCTTCTCCTTCCCTAACTCTCCCACACTTCTGGATTTCAGGTTCGTGGGCAGACCTGGAAGCTATGTCTACGTGTTCGATGGTTACCGCATGGAAGAGGCAAGTACAGCCTGGCTGGTGGTGTGCAGGTGCACCCCTGGCCCTGGCCGTTCCCCCTTGCAGCGTGCCTCACTTCTTGCCCTTGCTTCTCTGAGCTCCACTTGGTCTAACCACATCTTCCATTATCTTCTTTTCTGGGCAGTGTGCTCCGGGGGGCTGCCTCATGGAGCTCTGCATTCAGCTCAGCATCATCATGTTGGGGAAGCAGCTGATCCAGAACAACATCTTTGAGATTGGAGTCCCGTATGTAATGAACTCCTCTTCCCTGTCCGCTTGCCACCAGGGCCTAGCCCAGCAGGGCCAGACTTCCAGCAGGGTGTTCCCGGCCTCCTCTTCTCAGAGAGCCTGGTTATTTACTCCTCTGTCCCACTTGCCAATAATTTTCCCCATGAGGCAGGGCCCCTCCCACAAGGCTTGTTTGCCGATCTGATTTGGGAGGTTTGAAGTTTAGAAGATTAATAAGCACTTGCTTCAGTAACCTAAGGACTAAGTGGCAGAGCTAGGAGTCAGGTAGCTCGGACCTCAAAGTGTAAAATATGTTTAATGCTCACTGTCTTCCCACTAAGTAAGTAAAAAAGGACTCTCATTATGGTGGATATAAATGAATACGAAAGTTTGAAATACTGTGTAATAATTTAGAGCAATCTCTAAGAAGCTGTGGGATATGTGATCTTAGGAGGGGAAGGATGCAGAGCTGGTAAAGCTCAGACTGGATCCTCACGTGGGTCTTCTATCCCCTCCCACATGATTTGATACAAATTTCATAGAAGGACCTCTTTCAGTTAGGTGTTGCATGGAGATAGGTGACTCATAGGCACTGGATCTAAAAGAAATCAAAACTCAATAATGAAAATCTACCTTCAGGTCAAAGAAAAATGTAAACCTCGCCCCCCCATCTTGCGTTTCTATTGCTTTTTGGTGCTCACATACCATTCCTTAGGCTCAATGCTTTGGGTGTTTTTCTGCCCTCACTCTGAGACAGTTGTGGGTAGCCCTTGGGTATGTGCTTTTATTGGAGGAGGATGGGTAAGAATGTCGTGTCTGGCCATCCTGTTGCACCTCCCTGCTTAAGCCAGCCTCTAGTCACTGGTCAGGAAGTGATCACTTTTGAGAAACTCCACCCTCTGAAAGTGTGCCCTGTTCCCAGCTTTCTGATCGAAAGTCATTCAGTGATAGTCGAGTGAAGCTGGTGAAACACATGGCCACCGTTCTCTAGGAGCTTACTCTCTCAGAGAGAGACCACATTTGTTATGGATAAACATCCAGAAAATATACAGACCAAGAAAAGATGTACCAAAGCCACATCTGGCTCCTTTGAAGCTACATGACCAGCCCATCCACTCCTGCTACAAAGGAAAGTCTCCATTCTCCTTCAGACATCTGGGGAAGACACCTGTCCTTCCAGTGTGTCATTATTCTGCTCTGGATGGAATTGTATACAGCTTGCAGGCATGAGATTTATTCATCCCTGGACATCTGCTCTACCACTTAGTCCATTCACTCTGGACCCAGAGGCCTTTTATAGAGGATAAGAGAGACAAGAGCTTAGGCATATGTTTGGACAATGTATTGGCATGTCCCCCCACCCATCAACTCCATTGGCTCTATAACAGATGAAATTAACACACGGCTATTTGCTTTGAAGGCTAAATTTTCTTGTTTATGCTTGATGCATGTTTAATATGCCACACTTTAATTGATGGCAATTGCACAGTGACTCATAAAGCTATGGGCAAGTCACTTCTTTAAGTCTTGCTGTCCTCCTCTCTTGATGAAAGTGATGGCATAAGAATCATCTCTAAGGTGTTCTCATTTCAGCTCTGACATTCAGTGAACTTCTCCTCTATTCAGTGAAACTGGACACTGCTGGTTCCAAATACAGGTCACTTCTGTTTCAAAAGATTGTTCCTCATTTCAGTTTCTAGTCTGCTAGAGGAAACATACAATGTAATTATGTAATTAATTTCATATATACATATATTAACTATATAAGATATGTAGTTAATTATAATAATGAATATGTAGTTAATCCCTGAGGATGTAGAGCAAAAATTCTTCTACCAATCCCCAGTGTCTTTTATCTCCAAAGTTCTTTGTAATTCTACAGATTGTATTCTGAGTTTGGCCACCTGAAATCACTATGATAGTGATTATTGGATTTTCCACTCCCTACTCAGAGCCCACGCTCTAGAAATTAGACCCCACCCAATCCAGAGTTCAAGCACCTGGTGATATCCTTATGTGTGACACCGTTGAGAAACATGACATAAGCAAGAAAATAGAAGGAGTCTTTCATAGTCAAAAGAGAAATGACAGTTGAACCTGACAGTGAGGAAGGAGAGGTATAAATTATAAAACTTAGACTCAGTGGTCTTGAATTCTGTGGTGGAGGTAGCACATCTCAGTAGGACAGAGATTGTCCAACAGATCTGGGTTTAAATTGAGGCATTATAATATACTCACTGTATGACCTTGTTACAGTTATTCTAAAAAGATTTTCATGCAACCTGGCTTATGTAAAAATAAAGGTTAGATGAATGCCCAGCTGTCTAGAAAATAGAAAATAAGGAGTCCAAGAAAGGAGGAACCATTCTTCGGGGTTCCAGGCGGCCTAGGTGTACTGAGCATCATTACCTTTACATTTGTAAGTGATGCTTTGTGAGTGCCGCAAGTCCGAGAATGAGATTGAGAAGACCAAGTCAGGAGCACTATTTTTCTCTTCTGTTCAGGGCTTAATGGCTTTTGGCTCATGTACCTTCAGATTCTTTCCCCAGAAGAGATAAATATTAGTCTTAAAGGCCAGATTTGATTTTTAAAAACAGAAGCAAGTCTGAGGAGTTAGGTAGGTGATTATGCTAGTTATGAACACTTGGGATAAAAGATATAAGATTATACAGTTAGAAGATGTTTATCCTGAATCACAGATCTGTGCCTCTGAAACAAATAATACATTATATGTTAAAAAAAAAAAGAAGATAGCAGGAGGGGAAGAATGAAGGGGGGGAAATTGGAGGGGGAGATGAACCATGAGAGACTATGGACTCTGAAAAACAAACTGGGGGTTCTAGAGGGGAGGGAGTAGGAGGATGGGTTAGCCTGATGATGGGTATTAAGGAGGGCACGTTCTGCATGGAGCATTGGGTATTATGCGCAAATAGTGAATCATGGAACACTGCATCAAAAACTAATGAGGTAATGTATGGTGATTAATATAACATAATAATAAAAAAAAGAACTGAGAAATTCTAGTGGAGTGAAAGAGTCTCTGAAATAAACAAGTAATTGAAAAAAAATGTTTATCATCTGCTTCTGAAAGTGATTTTTTAAGATTCTTCCAAAGAAAATTTTGAAATATTAAAGACTATCTAATTGACTATTATCAGTAGCCAGTCAGCTATAATTTATCTCTCTCCCTGAGGGTGAAACATTCTTGTTAGATTCTGTGTGTGTCTTGCAAAAAGTACCATAACCACAATTTTGATGCCCTTGAGAATCTTATAGTCCAGTAGGTTTCTTGTAGAATATTCTTACCCAATCTTCAGTGATTTGTAAGCTAACTCTTAGTTTTTTTTTCTCCATATCTACCTAAACAGCTATTTGCCTATTCATTTCCTCTAAACCAACTCACTTTTTAAATTCATAACATTTCTGAAAATGGAAAATGAACACTGCCAGCTATCATGAATAGCAACTCACAGTAGAAAGAAATACGATAAAAGTAAACACTATTAAACAACCAATGACATCGGCCTAAGATCTGCATTCTCTCTGTTATAAAGGAAGCTGGACAGGCACTGGGGAGTTGTTAAAGGCATGCCAGCAGCAGACTGGGGTTTTCTCCTTGACCGCCATCAGAGGGCTGAACGAGAGCAGGGAAGGAAAGAATTCTCCCAGATGCTCTAATGAGATGAAGGCCCAGTGTAGAGACCTCCAAAGATGTCCAATGAACTGCTGGTGCAATGTATCTGTTGCTCCGGAAACATTGCTTTAGAGCAATAGCATCACCTGCTAATCCTGCAGGTTTCCACAAGGCTGGCACAGATGCGGGGCATGTCCATGGATACTGTACAGCTGCCCTTTGGGACCTGGATAAGCCTCGCCAGCTCACTCAGACCCTGCTTTGCTACCCCTTAAATCTGGCAGGTGCCATATCTATCCTGAAATCCTCAGGGCTGTGTGGCAGCCCGGCTTGTCCAAGCACCTCCCCCCCAGGCAGCGGCAGTCCCACCTTGGCCAGGCCTGGATTCAGAGGCCCTGCGGATGAAAGGAACACAGTGCTTCAAAGGGAGGCAGTGAAACTGGGGGCAGTGGGCTCTTTAAAGGCAGCTCTGCGACTAATTGAGGACATGATAATAAATAAAACTGAGTTGCGTGATCTGGCCTTGGACTATCCCCACTCAGCATCCCCAGGCTCCTGGGGCCTGACACAGTTGTGACAGATGCTTTCCAGAGAGGCGCTGGATGGTTTTAAACATTACAGCCCCCAGAACAATGCTCATCGGCAGCTCCATCTGAGATGACTTCAGACATGGCTGGTGGTGTGGCAGAATCGGATCTTGTGCTATTTATTACCCGAGTCCCCTGACAGGGGTTTCTATTCTCCCCTGCTGCTGCCCCACACACCCCGCCTTTCCCACATGGGTCTGTGCAAGATGGACTTTGCATCCAGATCACATGGGGCCCCTGAAACATGCCACCCCACATCCCAACTTCTCACTATAATTTTATCTCAAACTTGGCTCCAGTCTTCCTTGAAGCAAAATTGGAAATGGACCTTTTATTATTAAGAAGGATTTTTTTTTTTATAAAAAATAAAATGCTATCTTTTTCAAATGCCAGATTCTCCCCTGGGCGAAGTCCAAGGCAGACAGAGCAAATACATGAATACTCCCACCAGCAAAATGTCCCCCCATCCCTATTCTTACTAAAAACACCAGATCACATCCCAAAATAGCTGTAATGTACCCTGGACATGGCCAGCAAGATTTTATAAACTTTCTGCTTTTTTTTTTCGGTAAATGTGGTAAATATTACATTTCAAGACATAAAACAGTCTCTCTTTAAAGCCATCACAGGCGAAGGAGGTCTGTGTTCTCAAAGACAGTGGAATCTGGCCATGAATCAGAAGTTTAAGGAACAAATTTGAACCTTGTCAGGTGTCAAGGAAAGGAATACATAGCTCAGAGGTTGCTATGTTCTTCTTCTTTGGCCCATTTAGGGCTTGGTTCTGCCTTCTCTAATGAGGCTTGAGGCATGTGGAGCCAGGTCTGTGGAGAGCTGCCTGGGGCCCAGATCCTTGTGGCAGGAAGGCCTAAGGTGTGACAGACAGTCACCATGGTCTTGGGGTGAGCCCATGGGGCACAAGCAAAGGAAAGGCTCCAAGCCTTCCGGACAGTTTCTCAGACCTGTCATTAAAAAGCGACGGAAAAATAGCAGAGCAGATGAAGAGGACAAGGGGGTAAGATCAAAGGAGTTATTTTAACAAGCGAGTGCATCATACGGTTGGAATCATAATCTGAAGTTTTCCAAACGGCCCATCTGTATGTTATACAATTTGCAGGATTCCTGTTAAATCCTGTTCTCTAGGGACTTTATTAATTTTTTTAATGCTCACGGAGATCTCCAGGAGGGGAGCTTCTGGGAAGGAGGGGGTGCATAATAATTATTCGTGGATTTTTTTCCCCCCTCATTGTCTTTGACCTCCCCACAGTGTGTAACACTGTGGCTGAAGTCTTTCCTGAAACACCCCTTCCACCCTCCCCTTCTTTGCCACATGGGTTCACAGTTGACCTTCTGTTCCTACAATGGCTGCTTTCTTTGCCCTTGGAAGGCTCCACTCCCTCTCCCTATCCCTTGACTATTGGAATTCCTTTCCTGTGCTCCATTCACACACAGGTGGGGCTCATTGCTATGGTTTTGGTTCCTCTCTCCAGGATGATTCTTATTATTGTTAGCTTCCACTCAGCCCTGTTTTAAGGGCTCTAGATCTGTGTATAAAATGCTTACTAGATATCCCTACTTAGTTGTCACGTGGGATCCTCTGCCTCAACCATTCCTCCTCCACCCCTTCATCAAAATGGCGTCTTCTTTAGTGTTCCTGTCTTAGCAAACTGTACCACCATCCACACCCATGCCCAAAGACCCCAGAATGGTCCTTAGTTCCTTATTCTGCTTTCTTTCCCTCAGACGGGTCACCACCAGCTTCTTAACTCTGCTTCCTGAGCCTGTCTCGGTCTGTCCTCATGTCCACTGTGGTTACTGTGGACTCTGGGGCCATAATCTCTCACCTCAGCCACTGCCTAAGATGGCCGACAAGGCCTTCATGCTGTGAACTTGCACTACCTTTTCACTCTTCTCTTTCCTCACTTTTTGTGTCCTACTCTCTGCTCTGAGCATTTTGAACTCCTTTCAGTCCCTTCTCTGAGCCGTTCTCATATTTGCCTTGGGCCATTGCACAGATAACCTCCTCTGCCTAGAACACACCTTCTCCCTCTTTTCCATACTTCCGTCATCTTTCATCATTTAGTTGGTTTACACATCTCTTCCTCGGGGAGAACTTTCCCTGACTTAGGTCAGGTTAGTTTTCTGTTTTCATAATTACCTAAATTTCTCCCTTCATAATACTCCTTACACATTATTGGTAACACTTGTTTAAGTGTCCACTTTCCCAGATAGATCACCTCATTAAACACATCAGATGTCATGTTTTCTCCTGGAGACCATCCTCTGGGAATCTTTATTCTCTTGTTCAAACCAAAACTGTTTGTTCACTAAACCTTCTACATAGCCACCAATCCCAGTTAGATCCAGCACTTCCTTGTTCTGATGGATTTCTTGTTTGCTGGATTCCACTGTTTCGTTTCTTGTTTTATATCTTTGGTTGGTGAAATTCATCCTCCAAGAACTTCACGAGGGTGGATGCGTAGAAGGATATCTTTTTTAAAACCTTGCATGGTTTATATTTCTTTATTCTTTGCACTTGATGTATAATTTGGTTGGGTATAAAATCCCTTGCGAAAAATCGATTTGCCTTCTCAATATTAATAGATTTTTCTAGTATTTTCTATTGTCAAGGGCTGATGTTGAGAATTTCTTTTTTTTGTTTCCGAATAATTTTTAGAGAATCTGTCTCTCTGGACATGGAAGCTTTTAGAATCCTGTTCATTATTCCTAGAGTGGTGAAATCTCATGATGATGGGCTTTGGTGGAAGTCCTTTTCCTTATCATTATGCTGAGTGGGTCCTTCCAATCCGAAAATGCATATCTTTCAGCTCTGAGATGTTTTCTTGTATTTCCTTATACTTTCTTCACCATTTTCTTTGTCTTCTCTTTCTGATTAAATGCTGGAGTTGCTAGACTGATTAATTTTCTTATTTTTTCTTTCCTATTGTCCATTTATTTGTCTTTTCTATTTTTTTCTGAGAGTTTATTGATTCTTTAACTTCCTATCGTTTTATTGGATTTTTTGCAGATCTAGAATTTCCCCAGTTCATTTTTTCCTCTGAATAAACTTTTTACTCCTGCTGGTATTGGGAAAATGGTAGTCAGTCACCTGGGCAATATGGGTGGACAGAGACACTAGGGTCTACTGTTCCTTAAACAATGCATTGACCAATCACTATTGCCTGCCTTTGATGGTACCTGGTACCTGAAACTCCTGAACACTTCTGAGATTGCAGCATGAGCTGGCTTGCATCTCTCTGCTGTCTTTCACTGTAGAGACTTGGTATTCAGCCATCATGGCTTTGTTAACCCCTTTATCCACTGTCTGTCTTCCAAAATATTTATTAACATCTCTTATACACTGTTGTACTCATGACTCTTTTTTTTAACCTTGTGGTTTTAGACATTTTAAAATTCATTCACTCTGTCATTTTAGTAGCGTTTCAGAAGTGGAATGTGCTCAATTGTCCATATTTAATTAAAACCACTGACTATTCTTTACTAAAGATTTAGCCAAGTTTTCCGATTACTGGCATCTGGAGGAAAAGTCTCAGTCTGAGTTCTGATTCTGGACCTCCCCCTTCCTCCATCCTTCCCTCCCTCTCTCCTTTTCCTTTTTTTCTTTTCTTCTCTCTCTCCTTTATTAGTTTTTCTTCACCTCGCCTTCTGTCTTGACCTGTAGACAGGGTCTCAGCCAGTCCACACTATTTGGCTTCAGAATCTTTAGGCTCCACCTAGGTTTTTCTTAATTTCTTATTATCACAGAATTACTGCTTGCTCTTTTATTATAAAATACTGTATTTTGCTGCTGCTTCTGTGGATCTCATTCTTTAAATCCTTCTGTGATGGTGATGATGATGATGGTGGTGGTGGTGGTGGTGACGACAGGCACAAGGATAAATATATGGAGCTCTTAGCATGTACCAAGCCATAAGTTAAGCATGTTACATAGATTATCTCCTTTAACTGCCCCTTTGGGCTAGTTAATATTTATTTTCTCATAGATAATACAATTAAGTCTTAGGGAGTTTTAATAGCCTGTCCAAGAAAATACAGCTGGTGAGTTGTAAACCTAGGTTTTAAGCAATTATTTTCTGCCATCAAAGACCAGACTTTTACCCACTACACTACACCAATATACCACGTCTTCTTGATGGCAAATGGTATTACACAGGACACTGATTGGGCACGTGCTGCATGAAGCACTGGGTGTTATATGCAAACAATGAATCATGGAACACTACATCAAAAACTAATGATGTATTGTATGGTGACTAACATAACATAAAAAAACAAAACGTTATTTTGAACCATTAGATTTCCACTAACTGTCAGGAGCATATCCTAACAATGAAAGCCATACCTAAATGATATTGAGAACGCTCTTCTGGAAATAGCTGCATAGAGGTTAGATGATCCCATGTGGGGAATGTGGCAGGAATTCCTGCATTGGATGGAGCATGGACTTCAAAATCCCTTTAACTCTTCAAGTCTATGATTCTGACTGTTCTGCTATTAATTCTCCTCCCAACTATTTCCTAGAAACTTTCTTCTAGATTGATCAGCACAACTGGTACCTTGTTCCTTTACCTGATTTCATTCTCTGTGATGGTGTGTCAACGGAAAGTATGAAAAAACTATACCCTCAGGCATATTTTAGCATTTAATACTAAAAATAATAATAGTTATTATCACTGAGTGCTTCTTGTGTCCAGATATTATGCTAAGGATTGTATAAACATCATTTCACTTAATCCTCAGATTAAGAATACTTAATCCATTATTAGTTTGGTTGACTTAGTCTACTCGAGCTGCCATCACAAAATATCATAGGCTGTGTGGCATAAACAACAGATACTGATTTCTCGCAGTTTCGGAGGCTGGAAAGTCCAAGATCAAGGACTGGCAGAGTTTGGTTTCTAATGAGGGCCACTTTCCTGGATTGCAGATAACCACCTTCTAACTGTGTCCTCCTCACATAGTGGAGAGAGAAAGATCACTGTCTCTTCCTTTTCTTATAAGACTACCAATCCTATTGGATTAGGACCCCAGTTTTATGACCTCACCTAATCTTAATTACCTCCTAAAAGCCCTATTACCCCCAAATGCAGTCACATCTGGGGTTAGCCCTTCAACATAAGAATCTTGGGGAGATTCAATTTAACCCATTGGAGTGGTAGACAACATTTAGGTTGGCTTTAATGGAAATATGATGGTGTTTATGTTATTAAGACCTGAAAATGTTTGAGCTGGGAGGAGAGCATCTTTCTAGTATTTTCTAGACATCCTCTTTCCCCATGAAGAGGATGGACAGATCACCTGTTATACAATAGGATGGTCTCAACATTTGTCAAGAAGGGCCAATTGTCTTGTTGCTTCTCAAACAGTAGGAAGAGTTCAGTTTCTTTGGGTCTGAAGAAACCAGACCCTTTGTGGGGGGGACCTTTCATCATCCTGTTAAAAAACCTCATGTTGTCTTAAAGAGAAAGGTAGTCTTTTTAGTGTCCCTCTCTCAGTCCTTGGAGCAGAGATGACTTTAGTGTCAAAAAGCCTTAGTTTTTTTTTTTTTTTTTTCTCCTTCAGTCTGTAGAACTAACTCTGTCCTCCAGAGGCTTTTGGTGACTGGTCCATTTCTTTCCCAGGAAGCTAAAGAAACTATTTCGGAAGCTGAAAGATGAGACAGAACCTGGAGAAACTGACTCTGCCCACTCAAAGCATCCAGAGCAGTGGGACCTAGACTACAGCTTGGAGCCATACACTGGACTGACTCCAGAGTACATGGAGATGAGTAAGATCACATGATCTTTCCTTCCACCTGGGGGAGGTTCACACGGGGGGTCTGCATGGAGGGCAAGGAAGGGGGTTAGGGAAATGACAGGGGCAGTCTCTGCATCTTCTTGGGCTTCATGGCTACACAGTGTCACCTTCAGTGCCACATGAAAGTGAGGAGGGTAGGGCAGAAGGAACCCTGGAATGAGAACCAGGAGCAACTCTATTATCACCTTGACACTAGGGTGATACACTCTTCTTCTTGGCCTTCCTCTCATCCATGAAATGAGAAGTTTGGTCTCTCAGGCCCCTTTCCATGGTTTCTGTCATTGATAAAAGGGAAATAGTGAAAGGGAAATAGTGAAACTTGAAATTTAAGAATGAAAGTTCCATTAAGGAAGAGTAAAGTAATCCTAGGACACTCAGGCCAAGGATACTTACATCTTTGACATGGAGAATATAGGAGAGTCCACCACTCTACTCAGGTGGGGCTGGGTAAAGTGTCAGCTTTTCTCTTAAAAAGTTGGGTTGTTTTGTGTAGGGGATGAGAGGTATAGATTTCTAGTTACAGAGCCTCTTGCTATTCTTGGCTAAGGCTGGAAAGCAAGAGTGCATGTAGTATAGGTTGGTGGAACACAGTCATTTCACATGTGGTTTAAAAGCCATGAGTTCTCCATTATACATGTACTAATTTAGATTAGCTGCCTTTAAGCTCTTGGTTGCTTGTGACTAATCCTGACCTTTTATTGGGGTGGATATTTGAGAAGCTTCTTCACAAGATTTGGAACTAATGAATTAAAAACATAGGACCAAGAGGTCAGCCACATCATCTCAACATTTACTCAATCTAGAATGTGTGGAGAATCATCAATCAGAACCATCAGAAGAATCACTTGGTAATTTGTCATTGGACCTATCGTTGTGTTTGCATAATAGCTCCTTCCTGCTTTGGTTCATTACTTGTAATAGGGGGCTCCCGATGCCTCTCTGTGCACCAGATCCCAAGCTTGTTATTTCTCATGGATATTTCTCCTCTTCTGTTTATACAAATATGTGTATGTTAAGGGTAGAGGGATGGACAGGGTCTAAAGTAGATGGCTATAAAAGGTCTGTTCTAGTGCTGGGGTTCTAAAATTCCAGGCAAAATCTGTACTTTGTAATCTAAGTAAACTCACCAGAGAAGGAACAATCATTGTATCTGCTTCAGGAACAATAGGCTAGGACCCAGTTGAGGTAAACATGTAGCTCCTTATGCTTTTTATCTTTATCTAAGTGCTATTGACCACTGATCCCTCTCTGGCACTGAACCAGGTATTTACACAGAGGTGATCGCGCATACTCCAGATGCCACGCCTCTGTGTCTGCCATCCTGTCAGACAGAAGTTGCTGCCAGCAGTTGAGGCTTCCACTGGGGAAGTGGCTTACATTAAAAATCCCTGGGCTCTGTCTCCCAACCCCCAACCCTCCAACCCCAGTCCCCCTCCCCGACCACCCAGCTATCCATGTAGGTTTTTCTGGCCTGCCTGCCTGTCTGTCCAGATAGCTGGCTATTCCAAAGCTTCCTCTTTTGAAGCCTTAAGAGCAGAGACACTAGAGCTTTATCCCCTGGGTTCAAATCCTGGCTCTGTGACCAACTATTTGGACAGCTTTGGGTAAGTGGCTAACTTTTATGTGTCTCAATTTGCTTTAGCTGTAAATAAATACATAAATAAAATAATAATTAATGATAATATCTACCTCATGGGATTGTTGTATTTAATGAATTAGTATCTACGAAGTGCTTAGAAAAATGTCTAGCATATAAAAAAGCTGTGTTGTCAAGTATTGCTGTTTCTCTTAATGGTCTTGAGGCGCCAGGAAAGCAGAGTGTAGGGATATATGTGTACTTTGTCAGCTACCATATCACTGGATGGACATCCACTAAGTGTCCAGACTTGAGCACTTTACAAAGTGATGAGAAGAGGAAAAAAAAAAACCCAAGAACTAGATTTAGTGGCTTCTGGAAGACGTTGATACCCCGGTTTTGTAGAGAGTGAAATTCATTCTGTAGATTAAACAAAACATACACACACAAAACTCTTTACAGACTATAAGGGAACAAATCAACCATGTAACAGAAAGTTTGAAAATAGAGAAAAGAAGGGAGCAGATCTCCCAAACTTACCTCATTTCAGCCCATTTTTTATTAGCATTTTGGCACCATTTCTTCTTAGACCCTTTTTGTTATGTATATGATTTTAAAATAAAGTTGTAATCATATGCACACATTTGTTGCTCTTTTTTCAGTTAGTAAGTATTTCCAAGTTGTCATATAATATTCAAAACTAAGAGCTGCATGATAAATGATCCCTCCAATAAATGTACCATAGTTTATTTGCTGATTTTTTTCAATGAAGCATATTGGAGGCTCATTTTCCAATTCTTTCCCAATTTACTGATCTAATATATATTATCTTCATATTGACTCCTCAAGGTAGAGTCCTACAGATGTGATTACTAGATCAAAGGTATGGCCCTTGTAAAGTTCTCAATTTATTTTACCGGATTGCTTTCTAAAAGGATTAGGCCGATTCACCGAGCCCCAGGCAATGTACAAAATACTCTTCCAGTGAATACAAATTATTTAGTATCCTGAAGTAATGTGATATGAGGGAATTATCAGTGTATAGTAAGCTTGGGATTCTCAGCCTGTGGCCACCTCATTCCACCTTGTTGATTTGAATATTCCCAGACTCATCCTTTAAGACTTAGCTTTTCAGTGTTTCCACTGTGATGTCCTCCTAGACCAAGCCCCATTCCTCCCAGGAGGAATTGCTAATTATTTGCGTTTCTGTCCCATCATAAAATATGGTACACACACTGATAGTGTATCTTACAGAATAATGGTAATATTGCTCACATATCTGTTCTTCTGCAGACCCAGTCTATCAGAGTCTAAAGAACAGTGTGTAGGAATCATGGTTTATTCATTTCCATATCCTCCATAACCCGGCACATTTCCTGGTACATAATAGATATTCACTGTGTCTGATAAACAAATGAGTAAATGAATGATTTATTAATTAATGAGGGAAGGTTTCTTAACAGAAGTAAGTGTTTAATAACAACTTTATGTGGCAAATGAAGGATCATCTTCAAAGTGGGGCTTGGTTGATGGTGGGTCAAGGATGTTTTGAAGAGATTTCCAGCTGTAGGTGGAAGGTTGGACTTGATCTCCAAGGTCCCTTCTGGTTTTGAGGGTCTACATACTAATTAATGATAAGAGTAAGGGAGAGTATTCCAAGGAAAAGGACTCACAAGGTCAAAGAGTCTCCTGGCCACAGGTAAGTGTTGCCAAAACAAATGGTGGATTTTGGGTAGGGAGGGTTTGGATGAAGATCTGGTAGGTTAATTGTGAACCCTGAAGATCAGACAAGTTTGTGTTTCATATCAGGCCATTAGGAGCAATTGTAAAATCTTGGCCAGTGTTTCCCTTTAGGAAATAGGCAGCAAGTACAGAGATGAGGTAGTAAGACAAAGGAAGGAAGAAGAAACAGAGATGGACTCATTCACTTATTCTTTCATTCATCAAACACTTACTAAGCACATAAGGGGAGGAACAAGTTTGGAGACCAGGACAGAGTCAACAGTTCAGAATGATATTGATTCAGTCAACAATTCAAATGATACTGACTCAGTCTTCTGTGGAGGAGGAAGCCTGAATCACACATGGGTGTTCCCAGCTGGGTTCCACAGAAACTCACTCCCAGAATTCTTTAGGCCATTTTGCTAAGCTATCAGTCATTTTGGAGACATGACTATTTTATTTCATATTTTATATAAGTGCAAAGACTACGTTTCTGAGTTAGGTTCCCTTCATTCCTTTTGTCCTGGAATATCCTCTTCACCCTGGAAGGGAGTATTTGCTCCCATGTACAAAGTCAGGCTGCAGACTAAACTTTACCAAATATTACTCCATCTAGTAGTGTAGGCTAAGTGAGCGTTGGGGTAGGCTCTGGAGTCCAACCACCAGGCTTCTAGTCCCCAGACTGCATCAGCTAGTTACATGACCCTGGGCTTGATGCATAAAGTCAGCCAGGCTCAATTTCCTCATCTAGAAAGTAGACTTGACGATAATAGCACCTACCTTATGGAATGGTTCTGAGAAGTAGGTCATGGATATAGAGTAGTTAAAAACCAGTGCTTGGTACATGTAAGCTCTCCATGAATACAAACTGCCACTGTTCTCATCAAGAGTCCAATCTCTTTCCCTTTAATCTCGGAATTGACTGAAAACAGTTTGAAGCCCAGGGTGCCTGGGTGGCTCAGTTGGTTAAGCGTCTGACCCTTGGTTTCCACTCAGGTTGTGATGTCAGGGTCGTGAGATTGAGCCCTGCATCAGTCTCCACGCTCAGCAGAGGGTCTGCTTGAGATTCCCTCTCTCTCCCCTTGCCCCTTCTGTCCCCACCCCCGCTCACTCGTACACATGCACTCTCTCTCTCTCTCTCAAGGAAGGAAGGAAGGAAAGAAAGAAAGAAAGAAAGAAAGAAAGAAAGAAAGAAAGAAAGAAAAGAAATAAGAGAAAAGAAAGAAAAGAATAAATAAATAAAATCTTTAAAAAAACAACAACAGTCTGAAGCCCTCAGTACAGCAAGCCTTGGAGTTTTTTCCCAACCCATGAGTGTAGGGTTGGGCAGTAATGTTGATAGATGGAGGGTACCAGACTCCAAAGCAAATCTAAGAATCCCACTCAGAAGCCTTAGAGGTAAACACTTAAAGATGTTTGTCTTTTCAGAGAACTCTAAGCCCTCAGGGCTCTACTTGTCAAGTCTGGCATCTCAAATGGGCTCTTTTTGTCATCTGTTTATCTAAAACCTGCAAGCTTTTGTTCCTCCAGTCATCTAAAAAATAATCACTATTGTCTTCCTGCTTCAGGAATTCAATTATCCCCCTTCAAGCCTTCCTCTAGCTTCTTGAATACAGCCCAAGTTTTGAGGCCCTTAATGTGGGTGACAAGACGAATTTCTTCTGTCATTCACA